AGAATGAGGAAGAGTGGCATAGTGGATGCCTGCCTGCTACACAATGATTTATGGTGTAGTGGGTACCCTGCAAGTGAGCTTGCAGCAGTTACACAAAGAGTGTGTAGAAAAGGTTTTGAAAGGCCGCTCTTCCGGCTTTGGCTGTGACTGTGCTGCATATTCTGCGCAGGCCTGGCGTTTTTTTTTTTTTTTTTTTACAATGGATCGTACCACTAGTTCCCTCAGTGCTTTACTGTTGCTACTTGGGCTTACCGAAAGAAAGTCCCCTGGTGCACTACTGCCATTGCGGTACTGGTAGTGACGGGCACGTTTTTGTAGCGCTCTCTATGGTTGTGGCTTCAGTGCCGAACTGGGCAAGGGCGCGTAGTGGGTTGTGAAATAATCCAGCAAATAAGTCCTCCTTCACTCCACGCATCGGGTGGTGCAGTTTTCTTCTGCCATGTTTGGATCAGCGCGTTTGAAGAGGCAGGACATGTCTTCAATATACATTCGGACACGCTCATTCGTGCACTGGTTCGGGGAGTTGACAGCGTTTCCCGGCCTCTCTCAGCAATCAGTGCTGGCATACGCAATGAGGAAGGGTAGGTGAAAATCTTCTCATGTCACTATCGCCTCTTCGTGATTTTCTTACCATACCCTCGCTGTATCTTCCAACAGGAAGTATATGCGGTCCAGTCTCCTTGTCTCATCCCAGGCATTGATCTTTGCGACGCGCTTGAAATGCTCCAACGAGTTTTCTACATCTTCGTACACGTCATTGCGGAAAGGCTCAGGCAGGTATTGTGGGGACAAATGAGTTCAGATGTTGAAACTGGGTTGGCCATTGCTGTGGGGTTGGTGTAAAAGTTGCTGGAGCTGTGGTGGAGGGTCCAAATTCAGGCAGGTTTTTTAGAAGACGGCGGCTTGAACGCTGGTGTAATGGAGTCAGTTAGCCAGGTTTCAGTCGTTGAGGGTCAAGGCCCCTTACCCTTGAGCCTAGGGGACTTCCAATCATAGCCCGCACCTCTACCACAATATAACGTATTGCGCGAAAGATCACACAAACACTGCTTTTATTAATGGGCAAACTTGAACCCAGAAAAGTAGGTGAAAGTCTGCTGAAGCACTCCACACAAGTGTCTCTTTCGAACACTCTTCTCTGACAACTTGCAGATCAGGCCACTGTCGCAAGCCTGTGCACATTGAGCATGCCTCGCGTTGCCATAGGAAGTGCGCGCTACATAGTAGGCACTTTCATAGAGGCTCGCATGTTCTCTTGGTAGAAAGCTTGTGGAAAGTAAACTTCGCAGAAATATCGTGGGAGTAAGAGACACTGACACTCCATCGATGTAGCTCGAAAACAGCCGGGCTGTTTGTTCTTTTGTCCTTCTATCTATTCTCTGAAACTTTTTTCTGATTCTTCCAGTAGCTTGTCTGTCCCGCCACGGTGGTCTAGTGGCTAAGGTACTCGGCTGCTGACCTGCAGGTTGCGGGATCGAATCCCGGCTGCGGCGGCTGCGTTTGTGATGGAGGCAAAATGCTGTAGGCCCGTGTGCTCAGATTTGGCTGCACATTAAAGAACCCCTGGTGGTCAAAATTTCCGGAGCCCTCCACTATGGCGTCTTTCATGATCATATGGTGGTTTTGGGCCGTTGAATTCCAGATATCAATTAATCAACCAGTAGCTTGTCTTCCGTTTTGCCATCTTGACTCAGCTGGCCTATCAACTTTTCGTCTTCTGCGACCTCGCCTTCCTCCTGCTTATCTTTATGTGTCGTCGCCTGTTGTCCCTGGGCTGCTTCTTCGTTATATTCCTATTTTCTTTCCTTTTTCTCGGCCTTTTCCTGCTGTTTCTTTTGCTGCTCCGGGTTGTTCCTTCACTCTCCCTCCCTCGCTGTCTTTTCTCGCAGCACAGGGTTGGGAGTTTGTCTGCTTTCCTTTGCTCTTGGCTTCAGTTTCGTTCTTGTCTTTTGGTTTTCTTGTTGCTCCGGTAGACATATTGGGCCTTGGTTCTTCGCCATTCTTCGTAGTCGGTGCTTCGCTATCTGTGATGTTTTTGACGTGTGGCGGGGCTTGTTTGAAAAGCAGGTTTACTTGTCTTTTGGAGGCCGTAGCAGGCACGACTTCTGGTTCCTGTAGATACAGGGTGTTGTCTGCTTCCGCCGCGGCGCTTTCGGTAAAGGGCAGACGATGGTCTGTGGCATAGACGTTGGTCTCTCGTGTGGTCGACGGGTGGGAATGGCTGGCGTTCTTCCGTTCCTTGAATCGCGTCGGTTTCCCATTCTCTTGTTGTGGTAGTGGGCAGGCAGTGTTTCAAACCTGGTGGTGCGGTGAGACTTCGGTTGCGCGTGCCGAAAATCCACTGTCGTTCTAGCTCAATGCGCTCGAGCTCCAGGATGTTGTGAAGAGGCTCGTTGTCGCGTCATGCGACCTTCCCAAAAGCATGGTGAATAGTTCGTGAGAACGTAAACCTATAAGTACAGTCGCCGATCGTTTATTTGGACGCCGAAAATTGGACATGCCCGTTTATTCGGACATCTTCATGGCACCACCACTCTCCGCATCATCCTAATGTAAACTCACGACCGAAAATTCGGACGCCCCACTGTGCACCATTGGATTATTCAGACTCCGTTTAACTGACCGGATGCGTCGCCATACGCCATTACACGCTGACAGTGGCGTTAACAATACGTTTTCCAGGTTGCCAGCACTGATATGCTGCACTAGCTATAGATGGATGTCGGGCCAGTGTCAAAACGCACGCAGAAATCGCCAGTGCCGATCTCGAAGGCTATGTGTGGCGACGCTTTTTATTGTTTAGCCGGTCGAGCGGCCAAGCCAGGCCACCTACAGAGTCGTTCGCTGTGGCGTTTGGCGTGTGTCAGCAGTGTCAGTCAGCTGCTTCTGCGGCTAGGCCTGGTTTGTCTTGTTCTCTGTGTTCTCGCTCTCTTTAGTGTTCCGTGGCGTGCTGAAACAGCTCCGACGCCACCTGTTGCTGCGGCCGCGGGAGTGAATAAGCGTGGCCAACGTGGGAGCTACAAGATGCTCACAATGACGAAGAAAGCGTAGATAATTCGCCAGGTAGAAGACGGCTGACCTCAGTCTGAAGTGGCTTGAGAATTTTATAGTTTCCAAGCAAACCGTCTCGGAAGCGTGCGTGTGTGCAGACATGACAGTTTTTTCGGGCGATAGGGCCTCTAAAAATGCTTTTTTTTTAGTGAATCCGTTTTTTCAGACTCCCGATTATTCGGACTTTTCGGCGGTTCCCGTCGAGTCCGAATAAACGGTCGATGACTGTACTTGTTCACACGTATCGTTGAAGTCCAGATTTACTTCTTGGCAAAGACGTACCTTGGAATGGAAGTAGGCAGTTATACTCTCAATACATTGCTGCACAAGCTCTAGCATCCTGTGTCGTCGTTCTGCTACGGGAGTCCGGCTCACGAAGGTACGACGCAAAAGTAACTCAGACTCTTCCCACGGCGTGGTCTGGGAGCTCCTTGAACGGTACCATTCCTTGGCAGCTCCTATCAATCAGGCCTTGGCTGTTTCCAGCGTGTAGGTAGCTGGCCACCCATGAAGTTTCGACATTTGACGAATTTTTTCAATCCACTCGCACGCTGAAGGAGAGTTTTCAGAACCAATTTGGTAAGACTGATTGATTTGAATGGTGCAGAGAACAGCACATGAACACCCGCACGTTTTCCGATTTTCTTGATCCTGTGAGATATCTGGTGTTTGTACGGAACAACAGCTATTCTTCCACGCTCTGTGTTTGTGTAGCTCAGATCCTGTCCTTGCTTCTGCCTTGCCTTACTTGTCGCTAGATTAACTCAGCAAGAGATGCTATAAACACCTCAGGAAAACCCGACGCCATAAGACGGGACACTTGAGCTTTGAAGCTCGCAGAAATGTCTGCGGCTAAAGTCAGTGATCACCTGTAACGTTGGTGCCACTTAAGGCTGCGCGGGCACAGTCAGTCCTTCCATCAGGGTCGATATTAGGTGGTCCTTTTCTTGGAGTGTTCGCAGAAGGTCAGGAGCTGTAATTGTGTTTCCATGGCCAGATGCTGTGTCTCCAGTGCCAGTCGTGTTCACTATCGTTGGTGCGTTCTATTTATGGTTAGGGTTACCAGTTCTGCGCTCTGATGAACTCACGTTTACTCTTCCGTTGGCGACTGGATAACCATCCCACATCTAAAATTTTGTTTTTGTGGCATCCTTGAAGCACATGAGACGTTTTAAAAGAAGAATAATTTACTTAGAAATGCACAATTTATTAGAAACGTACAAACTACACAGGCTACAAAGGCCACACAGGTGAAACTGCAAGTGAGTCTCTCAGTCAACGTCGTCGTCTTCGTTCACTAGCTACCTCAGGGCACGTGTAAGCGCTAGAAACTTGCCAACAAACGGGAACACAACAGGAACAATCTCACTGGTAATCTTACAGTCAACTTCTTTTCCTTCTCTTGCAAGTGTCATCATTGAAGCAGCGACTCGTTTGGCCAATATGCAACTGGCGATATGACAATGGAATTTTGTAAACAACATTAGATATACGCATCGACTATGCTCATTCGTGTGGTTCTTTTGGCGAAACCGAGGCTCATCTCGGAAAAAAAAAAGTGACAGTAGGAGTGGGAGGAGAGAAAGAGCGCTTGCTTGGTCATTGCCACTTACACGCATACCTCGATATAACGAAATATTGGTTATAACGGAGTAAATGAAAAATAGTCTTGCAATAGACTTAATGTTAAGAATATACCTTTATGAGGAGTTTTCGGATATAATGAACCTATTTTCATGCAAAATGCAACCTTGTTATGATGAAGTTTGAGTGTATTTCAGATCTTCTGAAAAAGGGAGGGGGACGCTTGCTTGGCATTTTACGGAAGTGTGGTGCTTTCCTTGCTTCCTGTAACTTTTGCAGTTAGCCACTGTAGCATTTTTTGTTTTGCCTTTGCAGTGTAACCTCATTTCGTTTCTGTGGCGTTTTAATCACTGCTTCATTTGCAGAGGAGCTGGTTAGCCTTCGTGAGTCTGAGGAGAAGCTGAAGCAGCAGCAGCTCGAGGCCACACGGCGAGAAAATGTGCTGGTCATGCGACTCACCACCAAGGAGCAGGAGATGCAAGAGTGCGCCGTGAGTGGTCTCGGTTATCTTTTTTACCTCTTCCCTCTTTTGTTTTGAAACTTCCCTTTCCGTACCTCTCAAGCCACTCGCAACACACCCAGTGCTGTGCAGGATGGCAGTGAAAGTCGCTTTTGGAGTAATGACTGTACTACTCTCATAGAAACCCAGAAAACGCATCCATGATGAATAGAACCATCCATCTCAGCCAAGATCAAATTCAGTGCTGGCGAAAGATGAAAATGAATTGCGGCTCAGTTTAGTTGAGTTGTTTGGGAATCTTTCATGAGAGGTGCTGGCTTTATCCAGTTTTTCCCCTCTAGCAACTAAATCATTAATGCCACCGGTTGAACTTTGTGTCAATGGCATCAAATCCCTGTTATAGACCAAACTAAGGCCCGTGGCCCAGATGCTTTCCAGACCCCCCCGCTTACTGAAGTGGCTAATAGCATCTGATCTTTCTTTATTACTGGAGTTCTGCCCGAAGGCCAGAAAAAGGCTTATGTGGGTCCCATTCATAAGGGTGGTTCCAAGAAAGAGGCAAACAATCACAGTAAATGGAACTCTCAGTAAATGGAACTTGAAGGGACTAGGAAAGTGTGTTCCATTTAATAGGAGTTCGTTTACTCAGAGGTGAACACAGGTGCGTAATACAAACCAGAAAGCAAGCCTTACAGAAACAGTAGTTCCATTTAATAGATTTCCGTGTACTGAATCTACTGTATAGGCCCATTTTTTTAACAATGATTCCCGGCCAGATATTAAAGCACATACTGTATAAAGAGATAATGAAACACATACTTTTACACAAATTAATAGTTGATGTTAAGCATGGTGTTCGCAAGGGCCTGTCTTGCACAATGCAACTGAATGAATTCTACCACGATTTAATGACTGAGTTGGACGCTGACGGAGAAACAGACTGCATTTTTTTAGATTTCAGAAAAGCGTTTGAAGGGCAAAGATTGATAAGAGGGTGTTCAAATGGATTGCCACGTATCTGTTACAGCGTCGACAATGTATTGTTCTGAATGGTATTACTTCGTCCACGGTGTTAGTTTACATGTTGTTATTTCACAATAATGAAGATATCTTGAGAGGGCATCTTGATTGGGTATCCTCTCGAGTACGTTTCTTTGCCGACTTCTCTGTAGTATATGGCAAAATAACGAAACGAAAAGGACCACATTGAATTACGGGCTGATCTTATTAAAAATATGAAAGGGTGGGAAAAGGGATAATGCAACCTAATGTTAAAAAAGATCTGTTGATTTGTCTTTTACTAATAAAAAGTAAAATGATGAAACGCGTTATTTTCTAAACGGCGACATCATTCGTCAGCAACCAATGTATAAGTATGTTGATGTGACTTTGCTAGTGACTGTTCTTGGAATTTGCACGTGCATACCGTAGTTGTGCAAACCACCAAAGCACTAAATTTCATTCAGCCTTATCTGCGATCCTCACCTGGTGCTTCAAAAAATACTGCTTTTATTTCATTCGTCCACCCGGTTTCGGAATATGTGTGTTGTGCGTGGGATCCACACCAAAAGTCTTGGTTTATTTCATTGAGAGATTACATAACCAAGCGGCGAGGTTCAATCTAAGGCGGTATAAGCGAGGCGACAGCTGGACTGAAATGGAAAACGAGCTTGGAAAATGAGCAGTGTCTTCTTGCAGGAGAAAATCGCGCTTGAAATTGTTATTTCAGATGTACGGTGGGGGGGACGGGGACGAAAAGACGCATTAACAAAGACAAGTATCTTGAGCCGCATCATCTATCCAAAAATGTGATCATCACTTCGAAATTCAAGAATACCGAACTAGAATGAACCTTTATGCTAATTTCTTGTTCACACTGTAGTAGAGTGGAATCATTTGTCTTGAGACCAAGTGTACTGTAATAATGAAGGTTTATTTTTCTCAAAGCTGTGACTGCCTTGCTTATTCACTTTTCGGCAAAGCAGAGTATTTTTGAATATTGAATACAGTTAAAACTGGATATAATGAAATGAATAAATTTTCGAAAAATTTGTTATAAACATGATTTCGTTATATGCAGGTTAGTACTAAATTTAGGAAATAAATTCAAAAATTAAACAAAAGGGAGACTGAATGCAGAGCTAACCCAAAACTCTTATTTAGCTGTAGAAAGCTGCGTTACTACTGCGATAGTAATTATATGGACACTATCGGTGGGTTTTTGCTGTCAGTGCCATGTTCTATAACAAGTCTAAATCGATAACATGCCCCGGTGCTTCGTAACTTTCATGAGCGGATAAAAGGGCGCAAGTGCTGCTGAAGCAGAGATCAAATCAGTTGGCCCATATTTATCGTCTGGAAGGCGCATAAGATAACATCCCCTGTGTGTTCAAACTGCTGCGGAATGCTCAAACAGAAAAAAAGAACAACCGGTCTTGAACAAGCATGAAAAAAAAAAAAAAATGCACAGGGGGAGGGGGGGGGGGAATCATTCAGCAAAAATTAACTTGGATTCTAAGGGTGGTCGCAATATTTGGGGCACTTGCTATCTCAGAAAGTATCAGTGCGTTTCCAACGCGTAAGGACTGTGTGAAAAGAGCACTTCTCCGACCGTCTTTGCTCACACCAGCATTTTGTAGGAATTTTGCAATATAGGATCCAAAAGAATTTGCTGCCAGCCTTACTTCGTATAACATTTCAAATCGTGTTCATTGCATTGCACTCAATGCGCCAACGTGTTGTTGCCGGAACTAATCTGCTAATCACGAAAGCTACGAGCCTGCGAACTCAAGGCGTGGCCAAAGACGGAAGCGCGTGACGAGTCGACCGCCATCACCGTGGTCTCGCAGAGTTCTCATCAGCACCTAATCTGACATCTCCTCAGTGGTGATGACACGAATGGTTGTCCACAATAAAAAGAAAGCAAAAAAAGTGAAGCTGAACATCGTCTGAGGCCGCAACATGCGTTCTCAGTGAAACCATGCACGCATGCATGGCGTCGAAAACAAAGAGCGAACGACACGGACCCAGACACGGATGCCCCGTAAAACTATTCGGTAAAGTGCTCTCCATATGCAGTGTGGTTCCACATATGTGACGCTAACTAAAAGCGTCGCACCGCCAATGCAAAAGTAGGTTTTCTTTTTTCTTTTTGGTTTGGAGGAGGATGGGGCTCATGTGCGCATGCGTCTGCAGCAGCAAGAACGGCGGCAAAACCGCCATCGTGGGGCACAGGCTTGCCTACCCGCCTTGTGCTCACCCGTGCACAATCACGGGTTCTCCCTCTCGCCTGCTGCGCTGTGTGCTAGGCGCTTCGTCGGCGGCGGGGCACCCGCGGAAGATGCATGCTCGTACCGACAAAATCTGGGGCAAAATTCCTAGGTTGTCCGTGGGGAAAATTCGTTATATTAGGGTTGTCTCTCTCTGTTACTTGGTTACATAGAGGTCACAAATACAAGGGTGGGGAATAGAAAAACATTTTTATATCGAGGAATTTGATACATGGTGTTTTTATATCAAGGAATTCGATATATGGTGGCTTGTTATAAGCAGGTTTAACTGTAATAGTATGGGCGCTTAGAGCACCAGCAACGCCAAGCAGCATTTTCCGAGTTTTCTTGGAGCTAGTGATGCAGAGCTATCGATTCTGTCAATATCAGTGGTGGTCCAACTGCGCCAGTTACGCCATTTTGCAACAATTCCACATTCATGCACCAAAGTTGGCTGTTTTTTCCTTTTACACAGCATCAGGTCGTTAATGGCTCAGAAATATTTTTGTCACAACAGACACTACCCCAGCTTTTCCGTAATGTCGCCGATCCTTTCAACTTAATACATTTCAGCGATGTGCTTTTTGTCATTAGTAGATTTTCAACCAAATCAAAGTCATAGCCACCTCGTGCGTCTCGGTTGTTGAAAGTTCAACATGCTGTTGACTTCCCTCTCATTTGTTTGTGAAGTGGTGATAACGCCTAGAAAAGCGATTTTCTTTGTTCATGAGTCACTTAGAAGTTGTCTTAATTTTATTTTCCAATGGTTGCGGCAGGTCCACTGGTCGAAACTGTTGGAAAATAAGAATAAAACAAACACTAAGTTGCATCTCTTCAATTTACTCTAATCTAGGCCGACCCCGATTCTAAGCCAACACCCAGAAGTTTGAAGGTTGTAAAATGAAAAAAAACTTGCCTCAAATGTAGGCTGAACAAAACAGCGAAGACAGTGTTCACAAAGAGATAGAATTTATTGAACACAAAGATGAAACAAAGCAGTTGGTTCATGATGCAAATAACTGCCTCATGATGCAAACAAATGCAAAAACGCACCCGCACGGCAGCACACCTGACTCACCAGTGGAAGAAGCACTCGCTCTGGTCCTTTGCCTAGGTGATTGGAAGGTCACGAGACGAAATCCGAGGCGGTGGCGTTTTCGATGGAGGCAAATGTGCTTGAGATTCAGGTGCACAGTAAAAAACACCAGGTGGTCGAAATTACTGCAGCCTTCCACTACGGCGTCCCTCATAATCTGATCTTCTTTTGGGATTTTAAACTGTGACAAATATTACTGTTCGGCCGAGTTGCAGTGCGATGTGAATTAGCGCAAAGCAGAAGAAAACGAGGTACCGTGGCGCAATGGAGCAAGTTATAAATCAAACAGCCAAGTTAACAAACTACACAGCAGTGGATGACGGCCACAAGAATGTAGAATTACTTAAAATACTGCTAGTGAACCATAATTTAAGCAAAATGCATCTTCCTTTTTTTTTTGCCATTTGACCTCAAAGTCACTCAACAACAAGTAGCCAGTTGAAGCCGACTGCTTTACCAGTGACGTTATATGTGACATTACTCGGGTGACGAGACCCCGAGCTGTTGAGATGCAAAGATGCTCCCACCTGGGAATGGCATTGGCGCGAAGTTTGGTTTGATTTCAGCGTATTTTGCGTGTTCTAGACGCTGGTTGAATTAGGTGCTGATTATTACAGAATAGGTAGTTTATGAGACATACAACCCAAAATATGCTGTTTCAAAAG